ATAGGTTAAGGGCTCGCAGCCCAGGATCCTCGTCCCCTCGCCCTTCGGGAGCTCGCGCTCCTCGAGCTTTCGTTTTTTGCCCGCTGGTTGGTGCACACCACGTCGTTCACGGTGTTGCCCAATGGGGACCACCAGCTCCTTTCTTCGGCGATCCGCTCGCCACCCCTCCGGGCATCCGTGCCCTCGCCACTCGCCACTCCTCCGGGCAGCTCGCTGCGCCCTCTCGTCGTTCCGCCTGCCCTCCGGGGCCTCTTACGCGGTGATCCGCTCACTGCTTCCTCCCCAACCCGGCCCCCCGCCTGGCCGCATCATGCTCACTCCATCCCTTCTCCTCGGGCCGGCCCGCCCTCCCTCGATGAATCCGCTCGCCATCACTCCTCCTTGGGCCCGGGCCCCGGTGCCGGCCCCCGTTTGGGTGCAATCACTTCCCTTTGGGCCGATCCTCACGCTCAGCCTCCCGAGCCTCCGGCTCTCCGCTTCACTCTCCTTCCTGGCTTGAGCTCGGCCCACCGGTTGGGCGAGAGAGCGGTGGCGACACGGACTCGGTGGTCCCGCGCAGCTTCCGTAGCGCGCGCCCAATACCATCGTTTTCCGTCCTGCCTGAGTATAGCGTGCATAGACTGCAGTACATCGTCAACCACGTGCACAAAACGCTCGGCAAGCCGTGGAAGGAGCTTAGCGACTATATCATTGGGTTCGAAGCGGAGAACGAGGCGATGATCGGCAAGGGCGAGGCATACATCCAGGCGCACACCTCCTGGTACGTTCATCTCGGTTCCGCATGGGTACTGGAACTTTTTCAATGGGTCGGACACACGTTGACATTGCTTCCTCGACTCACAGGCAGTGCGACCGCGCGGCGACGATCAAGTCCGCGCTTGGCTCCAACTCGGGCACCCTCGTTTTCACCGGTGGCGAGTCGTGGGTGTCCGAATCGGTCCAGTCCGCGTGGCTCCAGTGCTCAGGCATTGACGTCATCTCGCTGCACGCGTACGGCGTGGGCGACTTCGCGACGTCGAACTTGCAGACGTATGTCAACATGGCGAAGAGCGCGGGCAAGCGCATGATCATGGAAGAGTGGGGCGCGTGCTACTTCTCGACGGAGAACAACAACTGCCCGCAGGGCGACGTGCTCGACACAAACACGCGCAACAGCAATATCGAGACGTGGGCCGCTCAGATTAACGTTGCGGGGTTGTCGTGGCTCTATTGGCAGGTGCTGCCGAACAACGATCCCCATGTACGTCTTCCACACCCAAACTGTAGCTGGGTGTAATCCTCAGCTGATGTCATGCGACATCATACAGGAGAGTTATGACTACGAGATCGGCATAGGCGAGGCTTCTTGGAGCACCCTGCAGGCTGCTGCCGAGAATGCCTACTCGACCACCGGCGCATACGACTTCTCGGGGTATCTTCCCTGAACGCATCATATCAGAATGTCAGGTCTAGAATGCTTGTTGAGACCTCGGACCCTATCCCACACTTGTGTACTAGTGGTGATCTCCTGAGGCTGTGTACGCTGTACATGCGGGACCCAGAACTGATGCCTTCCAGGTTTCGGTTAGAGTATCAGGTTGGGAAACTAAATTTCAATTCAGAAAGCACCAATTTCGTCGAACGTTCATCACCCTGCCTCCCAGGTTGAAAGCGAGCAGGGTGTCACGGCGTAGCGTCAACCTCATCGAAACCTCATGCTCGTTCACAGCGAGTACCACACATGCAGTATCGTACAAACTCATGGTGCACACCAAGAACCCGGCCAGGGGGCCCGAAAGCAGCGACATCTTCGTCATGCTACCTATACTGAATCCTACATTGAATCAACAGCGATGATGCATGCACCACGTATCCGCGCCTAGACAGCCCTTCCTGATCACCAATTGTACCGAAGGTACGTTCGATCCATGTCTTACGATTATGCCTATAGTGCCGCTGAATCGGGTCCTCAGAGATGGTCCACGTGAAGTCTTGAGCTTGTGCGGCACTAGACTCAGCTTCTCCGGGCCGCGTTGCCTTTTCTTGTTCCGGGAGCAACCCTTGACAAAATTGTCATCTTCTACAAGTACTTCCCCGAATACCTCAAGAATGGCGCCCATTAGATACCCGCGCGCGGGCAAAGTTATGCCAGAGCTCCTTCACATCGATTTGATAACGCACAAACGCGCACATCGCCCTGCATCCTGTACGTGTGGATCAGAAGGGCGGGAATTGACAACGAATTGATGGCATGTGCTGAGAAGCATAGCATTGCGGATTGCAAGGTGCACATTTCGGCGCCGTGTTCCTCAACTAGATCATCAGATGCTCATCTCGTCAAACTCGCGTTCAACACGAAGCTCAAGGCTCTCCTCTTCGTATAATATAGGAGACGCTACCACAACGTCTTCAGCATGTCGCCGACCTTGTTTGCATAGGGTCGTAGCAATTCGCTTCCCACAAGCCTTAGTCGCACCCACCGCTAGGCCCCATCGATGAACAAGATCCATCTCATTCATGTCCGCATGACACATTGTACATAGAGAAATGACTTAATATTGTACTCGAAGCATGACGAGTCCTCGCTACATTGGCGCGTGAGGTGCGTGCGGGGTGCAAGTCTGATTACGACTCACTGGACAAACCCTTCACCCAGGAGCCTACCGGGGGCGGATGCTCAGTCTCACGGCCACTTCGGAGCTCGATCAGCATGCATGGCGGATTTGCCCACCACGCCAACGTCACAAGCATGCCTAGCGGATGCAGCGCCTTAAAGCTACGCCCGATCATGCTTCCCGGCTGATCTTGTCGACCCGCACTGTTCAGCATCGTTCTCTTACATCGGTGACGACCTTCCTACTTGCTATACTGCCTCCCTTTCTGCTCTATCGTCACCATGCCTACCATCCCGCCAATCTCACTATCTCCCCTCACCGAGCTCTCCGCTCGCGCTCGGCATATCATACCAGATCCCCTCTCGAAAACCAAGTTTACGCTGGACTCGTCTGGGGTCGCGGGCTTCTTTGGAGGAGATAGCGCGGTCTCGGGAATGGCGACCGTCAACCTGATCCCCAGCCGTCGGTGGGGCGGGTGGTACAACACTCCGGGGAGCTACGAGATCGCTAAGCAGTACGGACAGCTCGCGGGGTCGAAGTACTGGAATGGCCTCTTTCCAGGAGGAAACGACGATCCCGCGAAATTATTCGAGCTCGATGGCAAGCTGGGACCGAAATTCATCGCGGCACATTCTGGATCTCACTTCCCCCAAACCGGACACCTCGCCTATCTCGTCTTCAGCTATGCCTCCAAGCTGCAGCCTCTCTACAAATCTAAGGTCGGTAGAGCCACCACGGATTCCAGCGTTACCATCATCGACCTGCACCATGTGCCTCCCGTGAGTGTCCGCCCGACACTCCCTTCGCGCCGGTCCGTCTACTTTGCTTTGATTCCTATCATAACAAGTGTCGGAACGTGCGTTCTCTGCGCTCTCGTTGGCGACTGGTTCTGCTTCGGCAGTATCGCACTGGGAATAATTGCGAATGGGCTCGCATGCCTCATCATCGGCTCTGGACAGCTCACGTTCACCCATCACACACCCGCAGAAGACGCCCCACCTGGCGATGGCGTTCTCAGCGGCGTAGGCGGCCTTGTCGTACTGCTTGGTGAGGAAGGGGCTGTCAACTGCATCACTCGCGGGCGTTACCACCTTCGGTACGGAGGAGGATGCGGGGCACCCAGCTCCATGACGACCAATGGGAGTGCGGTAGAGAGCATGAGCGTCGCGGCAGGATTTCGAGCCGGAGTTCAGCCTCCTGAACATACCGCACCTCCAGCTGCAGGAGAAATCCAATCTCTCGCCAGGGGCAAGGCGCAGACTAGACGCGACTCGATACCAGTTATGAGCACGGCGTGGGCTCCTACAGTCGGAGGTGAGCGGACGAGCAGTGCCACGATGTTGCGCCTCTCTCCTTATGGGGGACTGGTACCAGACACAGACCACCTCGACGCACCAGCGAGCGTTGCCGAGTCGGCTACAAGCATGCTGCGCGACGAGGCGGAGACCCGTCCCGCGCTCCCAACATCCACGCCGTTCAGTCTACCAATGACCGGGAGCCAAACAACTATCGACTGTCCCCCGCAGCCCTCGACCTCGACCGCAGTACCTCCTCCCGCGCCGACTGAGCCGCCTCTCTGTGATCAGTTTCTCCTGCCTAGTCAGGGTCTGGTCGGACCATGCTCCTTCCTCCTCATGATACAGTTCCTTGTTCAGCTCTTGCTTATTCCCCAGGGTACGCTCTTCGGACAGGTCATGTTCGTCGGCACTGTCGTGTTCTCGTGGGGGTATAACTCCTACCTATCGAGCATCGATAGGGAGGGAATCCAGACCGACGTTCTTTTTCAAATCATGAAACTCAGTGCCGGCGACGAGCAGTCCGAACATATCAGCAAAATCCAGCTGCGATGTTGGACGGCCACTGTCGTCTGTGCCTGCCTCGCCCTACAGAGGACGCCGGAAAAGCCGATCAACGACCTGCGCAAGCTACTGGATGAGCTACTCCCCGATTCCAAGGTCTGGAGATTGTGGAAGGACGTCATCGCATGGAAGCTCACTACTTCCCGTACAATTCACCTGGAGGATGCAGACTGGAACCGGAGTCCCCGCTTTGCTAAGAGGAAACAGCGCCTGGACAGTAGCGAGAAGAAGCTGCTGAGTACTATCTTGGCGGACGCAAAGGAGGCTAATGACGAATGGGAAACGTTCGAGAGGGAAAGAGAGCAGAGGCGATATACCGGGGCGCCTGGCCGTCGCTCCTTCCCCGAGCCTTAGTGCGTCAGGGCCCGGGTTCCATAGGTAAGTAGCGGCACTGTCACGTTTGACCTCTTTGTTTGACTTTGTATCATTTCAGCACGGAAACAGGACGTGTTCTGCTTTAGATGTGCACACGTCTCGAAGCCTGTTGCGCTTGTGACACTGATGCGCTGAGCCGCAGCCTAGGCCATCAGTAGGCCGTCACGGACCTAACACGTAGGTTTGTTGCGATTGTGCGATGATCATTCTAGCATCGATCCATCTACACCTTCTCGAGTATATCTATATTCGTAAATTATTACCGTGAATGATATCGTGTTATCGAAGTCACGGTCCCGCCACCACCGCACACGTTTCCCTTGTCGTGCAAAAGTTCGTGGTCTCATCGCTGAAGGGTTGGAGGGAACACCGCCGACGCCGCGTCCGCTCCGCGCACCCCTTGCATCATCCGGGACCTTCGGACCTAGCTCCTGGTGAAGGCTGGCAACCGTATGGTACGTCAGGAGGCCCTCAGGGATTCGCACCCCTGTATAGTCGTAGTACTTCTCCTGTGAGTACCCGACAGCATCTGTGGCTCCTCATGGGGCAGACGCACTGATTGTATTCCCAGCATCCACAGTCTCATCAGATGCGCTGATCTAGCACGGCTCTCAACCCACCATACCTATACTCGACGACAATTCCTGTCGCTCGCTGTCCTCCGCAGCCTTGAGCTCAGCCTGCCTATCCTCCGCCCCGCCTCATCGGTCATAGGTTACCTGAACGAGCACGCTAACGATATTAATATCAAGCGGCACCCTCAAGTGTCGCTCCGTGGACGGTCGCCTTCGCATTGCAGGTGGCCCATATGGCGGAGATACGACGTCTATCGCCGAGCGGCAGAGCTTCAAGGACAAATTCTCCCCACCGTATCAGACGTACCCGTCTGCATGAGACGTTCCCCCCGGCAGCGTGATTGACTCCAATGCGCAAGGTGATAGAAGGACAAGCGAGCGGGTGGGCTCTAGTCATATATGCATGTTGCGCATCATTGTGCACTGTCACGTACTACCTTCTTTTCTCAATGGTATCACAATCAGTATCCTACTGGCGAGCGTTCGATGGCTTGTTGAATTTGTGTGCTTTGATATTTGTGACAAGGCACCATCATAGCGAACAAGCCGGATGATGAGCTTGGCGAAGCCTTCGACAAGGTACGCCAACGTAATTCAAGCTCAAGGCGTGCTGTACAAGCTTACTACACACACTGGGGTAACGTACTAGTAGACCAGGCGGGCCGAGGTATCCAGTTATACGGCGACGGATGTGGAAGCGCCTCCAATGGGACACGCTCCTTGTCATCCGGGAAGTGCGCCAGTATCCCCAGAGACAGCCCGTGAAGGGGGCCCACTCGACATAGATGAGTGTTTGCAGACTGGATAGCATCAAGCTGAGGTATTGAACCCTAAGTTGGGATCATTCTGCAGGTGTCGCCTGACTTTGAAATGGTCGCACGCTCGACATGTACGGCCACACTGAGGATCACAATTTCTAGATATTGCCACTGCATTTTGGGCCCTTCCTTTTACTGATCATCAGGATTTCAACTCAACTGTTCTCATCGTGGGCACAATAGTGCCACGTAAGATCAGTGCGCGGCGGATGCCGGTGTGCACTAGGAGCCGTTGTAAGTCGAAGCTGCTGACCTAGTAGTTGCCTTGCCCACGAAAACATATCCCCACTCTACTCCCCTTTCACCAGCTCCCTCTTTGTGTCGAAAGCTCTCCCGTGATGCCAGTGACCCTCCAAATTGCAAAGCACGATGCGAATGTTATTGCTCTTGCTGGCTATAAGCAAGGCCGGTCGGAAGACGCTGTGGAAAATTTCCTGAAACAATCCTGTTACAAGCAGTGGAAGGAAAGCGGGGAGGTTCTTCAGTCATCCGTGACGAACTCTGCGCTCCCAACTTTGAAACCGGAGACGAACGGGTTTGTTCATACGGTCGTTGAGGCCCATGGAAGACACCATCACCTCAAGATTCGGTCAGTACGACAGCATATCGCTGATGTTCAGGGCACGTATGCTGACCAAACCTGACTCATCTGCAGGCCAGACGACGTCTGGATTGCAATCCTTTCACAGCTCAGTTTCTAGTAAGTTTTACCGTTTCATACACAATCTGAATGTCACGATCTGCATTCAACTACCGTTCACTCAAGTGTCAATAAGCACGCCGATGAGCTGCGGGAATATTTCGTCGCGCACGAGGGAAAGAAGGAGCTTTGGGTCTATGCAGTCGGCACCCGTTACACGGTTGATTTTGGAAGATTGGCCAGACAGATGTCTGATCAGATTCATCAGCATGTACGTCTGCATGAGACCAACTTGTGGCATGCTGGTGACAGTTCACATCCGCAGGTTGTCGACAAGACCTTGGTCGAATGGATTCTCCCTGATTTTATAACGTCGTCGGCAAATGATACCACAATCTGCTCCATTCTCCTCATGACAACACTGCAGGCGTGGGTTTATCAGTCTTCGCGTGACACCACGCAGCTGACTCATGTTTCCGGCTGGCAGATACTTCTCCTATGGGGCGAGGATAACCTGTGGCATTCCTTCGGTTACTCTCGAAGGAGAGAAGGCTGACTGGGAGAGGCTGTACAAGCGCCTTGACCGTGTCCAAGAGCTGGGAGAGGAGCCCTAACAATGGGCGGCCATGCTTCGCCCTATTCTGCGCCGTATTGTGGAGGCGTTTGACGGAAAGCCTGACATACCTTTCTGGGAGCACGTCGTGAGCCAGAACAACCGGATCTGTGGTCTGGACCTGCTTTCCGGATGGATCACAGCGTTCTGTGTGTGGGATCAGGACGGGAAATGGCTAGTCCGCTCTCGGCTGGCCGGCCCTCAGTCTTCGAGAAGCACAGTAAATCCAGGTAAGTGACTTGATGCCTTCAGACACCGGCGATATGGCTCACGGCTGCTCGGTACAAGATGACTACACTCTTGACGGCATATCGTACTTTGAACTTGATATGAAGCGCATCCCCCACGGATATGGCGATGTCGATGTCCTGGTCGACGACAACGGACAGACGTTCGACTGCAAGATGGTTTCGGGTCACGTTGCGGCGACGATCACGAAGTCAAGTGACGACGATGGAGCATACGACACTCTCAGCCCTGCGCCCCAGTGGTTTCTGTATGTCAAAGGGGAGAAGCCGCGGAGGGGATATGAAGAAGAGAGGGCAGACACAATGAAAAGGTTATTTGAACTCAGCAAGTTGCCATTGGGCCAGTATCAAGCGGGCTCCGGAGGTGCATGAGTCTGCGGAGAGATGGTTGTGGATCAAGAATGGGATTTGCCGTGTTGATCTTGGCTATCTGCCATACACTGGGACACTACATTGGTGAGCTGGTCAGATGGAACATGATGTACTTGGGCTCTAGTACCGTAGGCGATGGATCATAAGCAAACGATGTGTGTGGGCTTTGCGGACGGCGGACGCTCGGAGAAGCCCGATATGCCGCTCGACCTTGCTGACGTGTCGGCTAATGGGAGAGTGGCTTTGAGCGTCTGACTGTGGGCGCTCGATGTTCTATGCCACGCCCTCAACCTCAATGGCGTGCGCGCGACGGGACGATCTCAAACTCAGGCTGCCTCCGAGTCGCTGCGCGTCCGCGGCCAGTAGCGCACCAACTATGCACATTGATCAAGCGCGTCTTTACGATGACGCCAGCGAGGGCTGCAGGATCCGTGCATTGCGCAAGAGTATGCGACAGAAGTTTATCCTCCATGACATCGAAGAGAGCGACTTGGGGCGTGCCTCGTGCTGTGTCAGGGGCGAGGCGAGCGAGGGATGGGGGGTGTGGAGGAGGTTGCCAGTGAGATTTGTGAATGAACTGAAGGAGCTGTGGGATGACGTTTGAGGATGAGAGTGATCCGGAGGCAGATACTTGAAGTTTGACAGATAGTATGGTAGGTAGTGCACCCATAGCTACGAGAAATAATGTCCATAGGAATCAAAGTCATATCAGGAAATGTGAACTGATTGTCGTAACAAGGCGTAGAATGAGGTGAGATCAGGAATCAATATGATGATGACTTGAAGGATTCATACAATTCACTCACGCCTCATTCCGTTACACATCTGGAACCAATGGCGAGTGCGCATCCACCTTCCACCCTTCGACGACTATTCCTAGTATCTCCGGGAGCCTGTTCCACGCATCCCTTATTCCGCTCATGTTTCTCCCCAGCAGATCTTCCCTGCACTTCAAGCATAACTGGCCGACGTCGTAATGCGAGTTGATGAAGTTTCGGTAGTCGAATAAGAGGGGACATGATGTAGGAATCTCCGAGGTTTGCCTCACGTCTCCTTGCATCGTAGAGCGGCATGGCGGAGAGCGGCATTGAGGGCTCGGCTCTTTAAAGATCTGTATAAAGCGCATGTGGCCTGCGACGGCGAGGTGTACCTGTGCGTTGAAGCACAACTTCTAGTCTTCTCTAGACAGGTATTCCACTTCGCCATCGTCCCGTCTCCACCCGTCAAGGACGTCTCCTCCGTATTGACAGCAATCGTATAGCGCAAGGGGTAAGAGTGCGGAGGTTTGTGTCAGTTGGGCGAGATTGACGGCACCAATCGCATGGACAGGTGAGATCTTCACATCGCACTCCGTAGGATCTAATTCGAGCTCCAGGTATCGAGAGAAATCCTTGGTGTAACGAGCGTCCTGGAGAGCGCGGAGAGATCTGTCGAGAACGTCCTGCACGCCATACTTGTGAGCAAGACGAACGAGTGCGGAGACCTGGTCGAAGGAGTACTGTGGCTCCTCTGCACGGCGTTGGAAGCTGTGACTGTATCAGAACACACCACATTCTCGCATGCGCAAAATACCCACAGCATGAGGGAAGGTGGTATGAGAACCGCAAGGAAATGTGCCAGCGCCATGGGCGCCGGGTCGTAAATGGGTATGATGGGACACTCATCGAGGGTCTCATCCTCTCGTGCACTTGCATCAGCGAACATGTTTTTGAGAACGCTAGACCTCCGGGAGAGGATTCCCGCAAAGACTTTGAACCCAACGGTCCGACCTTCTGCGAGAAGGATGATGTTCCCGTCGTCGAACCAGAAGTACTCGTGATGCTCAAAGCTTATGTGGTCGAGCGATGGTCCTGGATGAGACTCGTTTTCCGAGGCAGGTTTGTTGGAGAACATTCAGAATAGATATGAAGCCGCTAGTCGAGGATGTTGGCTACCGCAGCAGCCATGTCTGCATCTAAAGGCGTCAATCCATCCGAGAAGCAAGGTTCTTCCCAGCACGTGTCCCTCCAGTATCTTCACACATACCGCGGCCGAGCGTGCATAGAAGTAGAGCTGGTTGATGTGACGTTCACATCAACCTCAGAAGAAGACGATTTTGAATGCATATTGACTGTGGCAATAGACATCAATTCGACAATAAACGGACGGCTTTGATGTTTATAGGGTGTTCTTCGAGCATTGGATCTGCAAGGCAACATATACGAGTGCCTAACTATACTATTCCAAACAGGACGCGAGTCATATGAAACCAAGCTGGAATACAGCTTTTCAAACGACCTGTAGTCAGCTCGTTAATGTCTAGACGGAGTGCTTCACACTCACTCAGCCGAGAGCTACTCCGGCGGCGCACCGTTCCAGTCTGGAACTACGATCCCAAAGATTTCGGGTAGCCTCTTCCATATCTTCTCCCTCTCTGCATCACTTCGCTTCTTCAGCTCCTTTCCGCACTCCGAGCAGACATTGCGGGCTTTAATGATCGCCGGTATGTCGCTCTTGTAATCCGCCAGGGCGGTCAATGGACGGAGGGGGATGGACCAGGTGTCTCGCGCGACCGAAGAGATGAATTCGCGTAGCCGGGGAGGACAGTCGTGGTGGGTCTTGCAGTTCTGGCTCCGCGCGTCGAAGATCTTGATGAACCGCTTGTACCCTTCCACCGCCAGGCGCTCCCGTGCCATGAAACATAGCTTCGCATCTGCGACCGAGAGGTACTCCACCTCGCCATCGTCCCTCGTCCACCCATCAAGTAGCTTCTCCCCCATGCGACAACAGTCGTACAAGGCGACAGGCAGGATAGACGTAGTGCCTGTCAGTCTAGCGAGGTTGACAACACCTATGGCATGGACAAGCTTGATATCGATGTCGCCGCCTTTTGTTCCTTCCTCGATGTAGAGATCTGAGCTATTGGTGTAGTAAGACTGACGGAGACAGAATATAGCCTGATCCTGTACTGCCTGGACGCCGTACTTGTGCGCGAGGCGGACCATGGCGGATATTTGATCGAAGGAGTACTTTGGATCCCCCTCCCGACGGCAGAAGCTGAAGCTACTCAAAATTGTTAGCTAGATACTTCATGTGAAAAACAAGAGTCACTACTTACAGCTTGTTGGGGGTAGGTATGAACACCGCGAGGAAATGGGCCCATTCTTGGGGCGTTTCGGAAAGGGTGACGATGGGGCACCCATCATGGATGTCATCCTTGCTTGCACTCGACGACGCAAGCATATCTGAGAATACGGTGGAGTTTATAGCAAGGAGACCTCGATAGATCTTGAACCCCACATCTCGAGCGACGAGGATGATGTTCCCATCGTCGAACCAGAACCGCTCATGAGGTCTGAAGTTGAGGGTCGGAGACATTATGCCGTTAGATATGTTCTCAGAGGAGTCCACGTCTCTCATATAGCTGATTCAGACGATGTGGTGGAAGGCAACTGGGTGTGATATGGTAGTGTTCTGTCGCCAAGGAAGAATAGCGTATCGATGCTATACGATACGGTGGCCACGTTCTAGCTGCGTGTGCCAACACGTTTTCCATCCTTGTTTGGAGTTGGCTACCGCAGCAGAACAACGAGCGGAGGCTGCGGACCCAGATATCGGGCCGTATAGCGTCTTAACCTCAGTGCAAAAGAATCCTGGTGCGAAGACATAGAAGACACGATGGCTTGACGCGAGTAGGTGATGCGTACTTAAAATGACTGGGCGCATCGAGCGCTAACCCGTTCTTTGAATGACATCATGCAAACGACAAGCCGACTTCAAAGCCAAGTGGACTGCATCAGCGCGGAGCATACTAATCAAAAAAAGACGGTAGGCGTTGACACCATAGTCTCCGTTTCTGTACGGGGTCAAAACTCGGCTCGCGAACAGTCTTTGATCAGGTTGGAAGACGATGCCCGTTCGTCGATGGTATCGTCCCATGAAGTGAGTATCCCGGGATGACAAGTCATAATTTGCTGCCATATCTGTGTCATCAGGTGCAATGCCTCCATGCACAGATCCCGGTTGGCGCAGGATGTGCATGGAGAAGCAATGAAGACTCGGAAGTACATACCGACATACCTCGACGTAGGACGTGCTTGTGATGTGAAGCACTTCTTTACGTCCGATGCGCCTAGTCGTTCTACTGTTCCATTGCAACGCCTCCATCGGTTCATGATGCGACCGTGCAGGTGAAAGCATGCATACGAGATTTCTGGCAATATGGGCAGTGTATCTGTGAGGATTGACGGCACCGACGGTCTGGAAAGGTAAGGGTATAAGGGACTCAGTTCTGCTATATCAATATCAGAATATTTTGTAACTGTAGCAATAAGTCAAGATTGAGAGTGCTTGAGAGGGCTTCCATTTCGATGCCATTGATACGATAGTTGTGGGAGAGATGGGTGTCGCAGTGACTTCATCGAAAGATATCTCCTGACACCTTAGTTAGCTACTGGACTGAGTAAGCACTAGAGCTTAATAATATATACGCAGTTATATTCACATTCTGCCTGTGGTCACGAGTAGTTCGGGGGAGCAGGTAGCGCAGGTCTAGAGGAGCCTAGGACAGATGTACAATGGGGCATTCAACGCGTGCATCGCACTGACAGAGGCGAACAAGTCTGCGAATTCGGTGGATCTGGCGCAGAGTAGACAGCAATAGAAACGGAGCATGGTTCCCGACACGACACCATCCTATAGCTAGAACTTGTAATCGGTCACGGTTGTTGTTCGGGGTGACAGAAACGCACCGAGATGTCTCAGTGAAAGAGCGGGCGGCAAAACTTCATCGATAGCGGAGATAACCGAGCGCATTCGCTCACAGAAGCGCCCGACAGCCTACAGTACTGATGGTGCCAACTCAACAGCATTCCGGTACAAATTCAATAAACCAACGGTATCAGACGGTACGGTGTCCGCCTAGCCCAGTCGTCCCATCGAGGTCCAAACTCTTTTTGCAGCAATCGATCTTCCCTCCTAATTCTCCCAAGCAGTTGACAAATCACCCGCGTCCTCCACCCGATGAACAACGCCCCTGCCGCTCTCCCCGCGATAGTGTCCCACAACCCCGCCTCGGTAAAGTATGAGCCGCCAGTAGTCAACAGCAGAATATTCCCTGCTGTCACCATGGTACTCCCAGTGTAGCTCGGATGACGCACGAACGAGTACGGCCCGTTGGTGATGAGCTCATGCTTCTCCCTCACAGTAATCTCCCAAGTGAAGAACCGTCCGAGGGTGCGGAAGCACCACATGCGAATCAGCCCTCCGGTTACTCCAAGGAGAGACGCTATCGTGCTTGCGACGTTAATGCGTAGTGCAGAGGGTCCTGGGATGGGAAGGAAACGAGAGACGGCCCGACTCCATTCCGACGCCGGGTAGTACTGAGCGAGAAGGACCGCGACTTCGGCAGCGGCGATTCCACACATCATGATCTGGTGTGAGCCCGTTTGAATACTGTCTGCGACAAATGTGAGGCAAAGTAGCAGACAGACGTACCTTAGTGGCCGAGGTGCAGTACTTCAAGATCCACGCAAATCGCGTGGACATGAAGTCCGGCTGAGGCTCCCCTCTGGTCTTCTGCTCTACCGCAGGTGCGGCGCCCCTAGGAGGCGTCATACTCCAGTATGTGCACATGGCGTGTCCTGCTAGCAGAGGGACCTTCAGCAGAGGGGTAGTCAGGAATGGGATGAGAGGCAGCATTGTGCTATGGGACATCGCTTCGCTGCTCAACCGACGCTGTCATGATATAGGACCGTTGGACACTGGGCGCCGTGCTTATTTGACGTCTGGGAGATACAACGGTCGTTATACGCCAGCGCCGCTGTCGGTTGGTCTATGTCTGATTGACTTCCATTCCAACTCCAGAACGCTACACATCGATGGAGACCTTGATTGCCTGATGTGTGATATTGTAGGACCTCATTCCTTCTATGCTATGCATGCAGTTGAAAAGCTAAGGCATACTTTGGACCAACGTGTGTTGCAACGGGCGTCCTCTATCTTGTCAAACTGAAAGGTAGAGAAAAGATCCGACAGTCAACTTGAAATTTCAACCCACGCCTGGACACGCAGAAGAACCTGAGAAACCCTCTGAGGCAGGCGAACTTCCTCTGAAGTCACACGCCTCGGATCGCTCCGCCATCTTGCCAATTGCCATGTAAGTGGGTTGACCAAGAAAATATCGACTAAGCTCCCAAAGCAATCCGCCATGGCACAGTGTAGCGCGCAAAAGTGGGACCATTCCTCCATACATACACAAGTCAACACAGGTACAGACAACTACAGTGGAGACATGCGGCCGTCATCCTTGGCGTAGAGTATATGCTTAACAAGCAACGAAAGGAAATGGACAAATACACCGCAACTAGCTGCCATCGCACATGTACATCACGTACTCTGCATGACAAGTCGAGTCATTCTTCGAGCCCGAGTCCACCCCATCGGACATAGGCTAGAGCGTTCATGGAGTGCTACCATGTCCGCTCTCGATATCCGAATCCTTGGTGACGGCTGCTTCCTTCCGGTCGAATCCCTCGAAGCTCGTCCGATCGTGCGTCCTTGACACGGATACACTGATAGCAAGCGGCCGCAAAGGATAGCCCGCTCCGTTAGGAGGAAGCACTGGAGCAGTCGTGGTAATTCGAGAATCCGCCATGTGTCCCTTCGAGTGCTCGCTCGTAGTATCGTTGAGGCCGACGCGGATGATGATCAGCGTAAATACGATGCCCTGACGTATGCACAGTTCAGCTTGACGTGTGATCATTCCGCAGAACAGAAGGGAATGTACTTACAATGAGAGGTTGCAGGGAGTCAAGGCAGACGTACTGGGCATTTGAGCCGGAGACATACGTGGCAAGCAGGGAGACGAGCGCAGCAGAGTAGATGGCTGCGGATTGGACGATGGTTTCAACTACGCCCCAATGTGTCACAGCTGCGTAGCCTGCGCGGTATCTCCGGACCCTGTAGTTGGACCACATGATGCGTCCAGATATGAGTGCTAGAAACGTTGCAACAGATCAATCTAGAGCGCACGAGACAAACGACATAGGAAGGAAATCGGTGCGCCCTCACTCGTTGTGATTACATTTGTTGTCAAAGAAAGGGAGAAGAACGAAGTTATCCAAGGAACGAGATTGCGTGAAAAGATAGCGCCGGATCCTTTGATCTGCGTCAGCACGACACAGATGCCGTATCCGGCGACTAGGTCGGCAGAAATCTTTAGTCCGCCTTATACCCAGTCATGGCAATGAACGCTTACTTCCGGTGCCAACCAAGAGCGAAAGAGGCAGGACGAGAATCCACGGGTTGCGGTTGAACACAACGTACAACCGATATGTCTATAGATGACCATGAGCTGGTATCAACTGAGAAAGATAGCGGGCACGTACGACAAAGGCGTCCCCTACCAGCGTCTGTGTGATATAGATGGCCGACTTTGCAACGTGCGTTGGGTTACTCAATCGGTTGTAGAAATCGGCAGTACCGGAGGGTGTACCACCATTCGCAATGAAGCCCTCGATTGCCCTTTGGACGTCGAAGCACAGATGCTGCAAACGTTTGGGTCGGGAAAGGAGGTAACGTTACTGACAGGCTACTCACTGCAAGCGCGAGGACGAACATGGTCGTTGCCGTCGCGAACATCCACTTGTGCACTTTGGAACGACCATGGTGCTTCTCACGATACAAGAGAATCCATATTGATATGCTGTACAGCACCGCGAAGGCACCAAAGAGCAGCGACTCGAGAAACAACGCAATGAGCTGCAAGCAACGGAGATAAGCGCATGTTGAATCCTGGGTGTTTGAGTCACGTACTTCAGCTCTCGGCAGAGGGAATGAATCCTCGGCTGACATGTTTGCGGGGGCCAAACGACCTTTGGGAGAGAAGAGGACTTTGGCGCAGGCCTAAGAGACCAGCTCAATCACGTCTATATGGGCCCCATGAGAATAAATCGAGCGCATGGAGACGCCCGACATGTGCGGGACTTATGGCAATACAAAGTTCGCGGCAATGTGCGCGCATCGTTTGATAGAAGCCGTCCAACGCGGTTCTTGATTGGTCCTGACCCATGTGTCTCATGATAAACTTGGTCGAATGCTAGTCAGGAGAAAACGCACCGTGGACCTTGTTTACCCACGACTTCGCTCGGGGACCTTCCTCATGGGAGCAGAGCAAATATAGGGCAGTCGAAGCAGTTATTGCATCCCACAAGAAGCATCGATCCGAGAAGCGCTCGTATTTGTCCAATGTTTATATTCGATCACCTTCGTGGCGTGCGCATCGGCTGATGGGCTCCTTCCCCTCAGATCTTCTGAAGACGTTATTTCGGTGTAACATACTGCCAGCACACCTACTCAAGTCCTCTTGGACTCGGTATGGACAACCGGTAGGAGTGAGGACAAGACGACAATCATCATAGTCCTAGGCAATTGTTCACCTACCTGCATCCCTGTCTCCAACCTGAACTAGGAACTCGTGTGGAAGTACAAGTGCTGCGTTGACTCTGATGAGTCTGCACCCTTGTGCTCATGAAGGACGAGAAGCAACGTCAAGAGTCAAGACGACATCTCGAAGTCAGTGGCATCATGATGTGGTCGGGCGGCGACTCCTTCTCTTCATCGGCTCGGAGTAATTGCAAACTGAAGGCCGCTCCTCCCATTTGTGTGAGACCTCTCACCAGAGATCCGTATGTATCATAGAAGCAACTGGTGGAGAACACCACCTATATCTCGATATGCCCTGCGAAGAAACGCAGGAGAGCCCACTGTACGAGCTAGAGTCGAACGCATGTTCAACCCTGGGGCAAAATTGCGAATGAGTAGAACAAATCTCTGACTGAACATGAGATCGCAGTAGGACTCACAGGGAGTAATCTGACTGAAGTGGGCCGCACGCGGCCCCTGCCTTGCGACCAACGGATGCGTAGTAATTGTATCATCTGGGTCGCAGCAGGATTGCCGTAAGTCTTCCAATTCCATGGGAAACTGCCAGCATCTGATTCTGTTCAGTGTCGAGCAGCTTTGTCGCCCATTTGCTCTTCCCAGTCTAACGTAAAACAAGCACTTCTAGCGCGAATCTCGTTAGCACTGAAGAACATCGCACGACCGGTATGATCAACTCTCCTGCGATAGAGGACCGAAAAATGTCGACTAGAGGTAGTCTGCGCATGATTACGAAGGACCTTTGAGACTGATGACGGAATTCAGGATGTCAATCAAGAGTACCAGGCCGGCGTCGGTCGGTCGCGACCGCCCTGCTTCCGCCAACTACAGAAGAGTCGACACGTACACCCGAGTCGACCGAGATTCCGAGAGATGACGATCGTGCGAGAATGGTAGCCTGGTGACTTACCTAGAACAATCGGCAGCACGACGGAAGCCGGACGTTAAGGTCGATATGGGCAACGACACTGCCTCCAGGGTGCGGAGGTATCGTGCTGAGCGATTGCCGCTGTCATGAAGTGACGCACAGATACCCGGTCCGAGGGGCGTGAGACGATCTTCCCTTCATCTGCCACTGATACATAAGTAATGGGATCCAAGGGTCGCATCGACAGATGCCACTCGGACCTTGCGCAGACGACGCATCCTGTCGCTCTCTAATGCAAAGGGAGATGTCACAGCGACTTTCGAAAGAGCAGCTGGAAGAGATGGACGTAAGGCCCGCTCGGTAGATATATAAGTAGCACGAAGCTCGATACGGGCGGCGCTGCCGTTGCGGCATGCTTCGACGTCTAGAGCATCGACAAGGTTTAGAAGGGGCATTTCTATTCAGAGCATGGCTCAAATCTCGGCCGGTCCTGACAACCCCTTATCTCCTAGCTTTGCTTCTACTGACATGGATGCAATAGAAGAACTGACTGCCGTAAACAGAGAGGACGCACTGACTTCTGACTGTCGCCCAGGCTGTCAGGAAGACTATGCAGGTGCTGTGATCAGATCTGGTAGCGAGAATGCCTGCGGAACACTGGTCTGGCTGTGGTCGAGGAAAGGGATAACGCCAAGACTTGTCGAGGCTTTGCGGACCGTACGTCTGGCGATTCGAATGCTCGCGACTGACAGCCGCGACCCAGGAGCATTTCCTAAAGGGGTTTGTCCTGGAGGACGGCAGGAACAAAAACGCGTAAAGTATAGAGGCCGTACTCACCGGAGCTTCGCCTGGACATGCTTGTGCGATGCATGTCGACAATGGAGACGACGCTCAGGCACGGGTGTCGAGATTCCGACGGCTGCTGCCGAAGAGTCTCTGACCGCGTGCGTGCCGATTGCATGTGAACATCTCGATACCACGACTGTCTGCCAACGTAGAAAGAGCCCGGCTGCATTGTGTTGGACAGAAGTGTCACTGGCTGCTCTTGTGTTGATATAGATTGCCACATACACCCGTCAATATCCAACTCGAGAAATTGAGTAGTAAAGCCGAAGAGTACAGCTATGCGCCCATGCCGAAGGCCAATCAAACAGTCTCAGGATCATTCAGCAATAGACTGGTCTTCGATTGTTCCGCGTGAGGATCCCGTTGCCATCCAAATCGGTGCTGCACTACGGGCACATATGGAAGAGACTCGACGACATAGCACCGATTGGCAGAGTAGGAAGAGCCAAAACCGTGACAAACACCCAGGAACATAGGAGAGGCGCATAAGCACTCACAGGTCTCGCTTTTGGTTTGTCCATCCCCCCCTGCGTTCGACATGAAGTTTGCAGGGCGATTCGCGTGCGCCGACGGTTTGGTAAACGACATCGACGGCGTCTTGTGACACAAGGAGAAAGTCGGGGAAGGAAGGATGTCAGATACACATGGAAACATGCAAGGGAAAAAACTCACGTTTTCTGTCTACACATCCGATGACGCTGCGCTCAAACCTACGCACCGATTCACAATCCTTCCCACACCTTCCCTCTTACGACATATAGTCCCCGTCGCTATCCAGTCACTAGCTGCCAGGATCAGAGTCAAAGAAGCTCGCAAGATTGAACAGCTGATCATTGCGGGATCCAAGAGGTATGAAGTCGAGGGCTCGAGGAACAGCCCGGAATAGCGCTGCGCCGGACGCACCTAGTTCGCTGATACTCGCCGTAGAAGGTTGTTTCTTGCGTAACTCGAGACTGGAGGTGGTTTGAGACATGTTTAGGAGTCGCATGATAGCTAGTGTTGCCGCCAAGCCAGCTAAGCTAAGCTAAGCTGACGAGCTGGATCGCGCTGGATCACCAAGCCGGAGCAAGCTAAGCCGAGATCCGGCTAGCTGGGCGCCAACTCCCTGGCCAGGCCCCAGCCACAGCTTGACTTGCAAGCTCACATTCCAGATATGGCAAGACATTGCATGCGCCGACAGCGAACTGGGCATCATCGTTCCTAGTGTAGTAACAACATGGTATACATGCACAGAACATAACACCATGTATGCATAAGTTCAACATATCTCCCTGAGGAGGTGTGAGCTGCCAAAAAATGTCTGAAGGCCACAACGGAATCACTGAGTATGCATGTCAGAAATAGTCAACACCAGTAATCCAGTGTGAACCTGTAGGCTTATCTATTCGACTAAATAGAGCGACACATTGTTCAACAGTTCAGTAACTGTGTTGGATTACCTTGAAGACTGCATATGTGATGTGGTTCGAACACAGCTGCTAAAGCCATTAAGACAGAAAGCAGGATACACGAGAGTCTATAATCTTGCTCGCCAGCAGCATTGTAGCGCACATTCCCAGGCTGTTCTGTGCCGAGGGTGACTGCTGCCTTTGATATTATGAGGATTACCGCTGTGCTCAAGGCATGACTCGTGAGGAGTCAACACATCCATCCAGGAATTACCAGGCCATACCATGGCAGCCAAGCATCTCGAAGTAATTGAAGTCGCGGCTGTCCCGGGACCTCCCGGTCCTACGAGATACCAACTTTGGTAATTATGACATCATCAATGGAGCTAGCCCGCGAGCTGGCTTGAAAACGAGCTGACGATCAGCTCGTTTCTAGGCGTTTCGGCTTAGCTTAGCTTCTTGCAACAAGCTGGGCGTCTAGTTGACAAGCTGAGCTAGCTGGATAAGCCGGCCCGGCTTGGCGGCAACACTAATGATAGCGAGCTCATGGGTCAGAAAAATAGGCGCGTGTAAAATTCAAACCCTAACCTTGGTCACCGTTTGGCGTCGATTCAACGCCTGTGCAAGGTAGCAAAACAGTGGTGGGCTCTGGCTCCAATTTTTGCGTTGGATGCTGACCAAGGTACCGAGGGTGGCAGGCCGACGTTCAGCCGGAGCCAGCATTGTGGTTCTCTCAGCATGCTGTCAATGTATCCCGTACTGGTGCCGGCATGACGGGAAAAACTGGGTTCACAAGGTCCAGGATTCTAACACGCTCGGAGCGCCTTGGGTGGCAGGAAGCCTGCAATCCTTAAGACGCTCAACGCCAGCCGGAACGGCGATACTCCATTTCTCAACATGGTACTACCGCTTCGTCGCAACATTTAGCTACGCGTATTTCCACAACCACGCTTTTCCTGCCCCATCCGTATTAACATGTTTGCGCAACCAGATTTGATTGTCACCTCCCGCCGTCAAAGGGTAGAGTCGTACAGAATGACCGTGCCTAGCCCAATGCGCCGCTCCACAGCGCGAGATCAAGGCTATTATCCAGGAATTAATCGGCGGTCTCTTTCACTTACCATGCGCAGCCTGAAGCTCATATTCACGGCTTCGGTCAGGTGCTACAGAATCGAGACCCCCACATGTTGATTATCGCAGTCGCCATCGATAACTGAAGCTGCCACTGCAAGTCTTCGAGAGCGAAGCGTCACTTCCTAGAATGAAGTCAGACGCATCCACATTCGACCGCTATGGTGCGCTTAAAAGGTGAGCGATTCTACTAGACGCGCATTGTGTAGCGCCGTCAGTGGTATCATCGCATACCGGACCCGCACAATTTCATCTAGATGTGCCGAGGGACAGTCCGCGAATCATTCCAGGCACTGCACCATCAGTGCCATCGTACGCTTCCCGGTGGCCCAACCATGACGGAAGCTAGCAGGTATGGTGATATCTCTGCCTCCTGTGCCACAAAGCGCCTTAGGCGTCTCTTATGATTGATCCCCTTAGCCTTCGTTTCAAAGGTGTACTGTACGCTCGCCGGTCAGACGGGGAGGGAAAGTTTTCTACCTTCCTTGAAGCGCTGGTATGGCTGCCTCTGTTGGTCATAGCCGAATCGCTTGCTTACTGCATGGATATTATCAGCGCGGGCGGCGTACCCCGCCGTACATCTATGTTATCTGTACGGAAATCCGAGGACGCACACGACCCACAACCGACCAAACCTGTCATTCTCAGTGCGACCACCCTCGGATATCAATTGCGCGTGTGTTTACGCGGTGACGGATCCTTACATCTTCCCGTGGATGTGGTCAGCAGCCTACCGGGCATATCGCGTGCTTGAGATACGTAGCGCAAAGGCCGACGGATGATGATTCCGTCACACGTGGAGCTGAGGTTCGCACTCTGACAGCGTTGGGGCGGAGCCCGAACTCGAAGCAGTATTTCCGATGCAGAATTCGAGTTCACGCGCCCCGTTCGATTTGCACAGACTTATACACTACGACGTTAGAACTCGGTACCCGGACATCAACCTTGCACGGCAATTTGACGTGTGAGGCGCGCATCGGAAACAGGTCCGCCCTCACTGGCGTCACCAAGAGGTCCTAGCGTCTAAGCGGAGGATTGTGATGCCAGCCAATAATCCGCTCTCCTCCGGAGGATTTTAACTCGCGCCAGCGTCATGGCTTCTCATTCAGACTGCTCAGCTTGAATGTGTCCATCATACAGCCGAACTTCTTATAAGCTCGGCGTCCCGGTTGACATGCTCTTAACCCACTTCCCCATCTTTCTGAAGATGGCTGTCTGGTCGCAGCTCGCACTCGCAACCTCGTCAGCGCCCATCGCCCTGGTCGCTCTCTGCATTATCATTGGAGCGTATGTACGGTATGTTAAGAGTGCCAAGTATCGATACCCCCCAGGTCCAGTGGCACTTCCTCTCCTCGGCAACGTCCACCAATTGCCCATGGAATACCAGCAGCGTAGACTTGCTGAATGGGGCGGAATATATGGTATTCAAATTCTCTCCATGATCGGTGTATTGTTGCTGAACCTGAACACGATCGTAGGGGACATTGTCTTCGCTAGGTTCTTCCGCACGCCTGTTGTCGTCTTGAACTCCAAAGAAGCTGCAGTGGAGTTATTGGAGAAGCGCAGCGGGAAATACTCGGACCGGCCACCTTTCGTCTTGCTCAAAGAACTGTCAGTGTCCACGACTTCGTTGCTTAGTCTGCCTGACCCACGTCCCTTCAGTATGGGCTGGGATAGTGTACTCAACAATCTTCCGTATGGAGAACGCTTCCGAAAGCAAAGGAAGTGGCTTCATGATGCCTTCCTCTCCAAGGATGCCCTGGTGAACTATCGGCCCATTCAGCGGCGGGAAACATATACGCTATTGTCTGAACTCTGCGACAAACCTGAGCTCTTCATGGATCACATCGTGCGGTAGGCATGACTTCTTTTCGATTATGCTCGATAGTATCCTAATACCCCATAGATGGGCCGCTGCTATGGTGTTGGACATCGCATACGGCTACCGAGTCACTGGCCTTGGCGACGAACTGGTCGAGACGGCAGAGCGGACGACGGTGGAGACCGTTATCGCCGGTAGCCCGGGTTCCATGCTGGTAGACTTCTTCCCAATTCGTGGGTCCCCCCGCTATATCGCAGCGTTGCTAGGTTACTTCGCTGACGTGCTTCTGGCAGTCAAAGGTATTCCTCTCTGGATGCCTGGTTCTGGATTCAAGCGTCAGGCGCTTTACGTGAGGAGTCTAGTACGTCGGACGCTGGATACGCCTTACGAGATGGTGAAGCGTGACCTGGTACGGTCGAGATTTTCTATGGGAAGTTCTGTGGTCTGATGTAGCGTTAAGATGGCAGGCACCGCGGCTCCTTCGTTGACGGTCACGTTACTGGAAGAAGCTCTCGCAGTAGGCAAGCTCACGGCTGACTATGAGGAGGACATTAAAGGCGCCGCAGGTGTCATTTATGCTGGTAAGTGAACCCGTCGGGAAGACCAGTATCTATTCTCATTTTTGGACGTCCAGCGGGATCGGATACGGTGCGCTCTCTGAGGCACAATCGATAACGTCTAACCAATCTCCTTTCTAGACGGTGACCACCATGAAAACGTTCGTACTGGCGATGGTACTCCATCCGAATGTCTATCAGAGGGCGCGAGCGGAACTTGACCGTGTCATCGGACCGGAGAGGTTACCCGATTTCGAAGATCGCGAAAGTCTTCCTTACTTGGAATGTGTGGTCAGAGAAGTGTTCAGGTACGGCGTTATCCCTTAACCGAGTGATGACGAACCTAGGCTGACTCACGGTCGTGGTCGTCGAACCACAGATGGAATCCTCCTGTACCTCTTGGTGAGTTCACTCAGCAGATACAGTCCGGTCCAATCAGCTCATAAGGGGACAACCAGGCGTACCCCACAGGCTTAGTTGTGACGATGTGTATCGAGGTTACGACATCCCCGACGGCTCTATGGTTATACCCAACATCTGGTGGGCACGCTTGTTCCCATAGCACCTTCGCCGACTCACAGTGAGGGATGTGAGGTGGATGACCCACAACCCAGACGTATATCCCAACCCAGAGAGATTCGACCCAGACCGGTATATGCAGATGTCGGCCGAAGACACCGCACGAGTCGATCCCAGAGACGTCGTTTTTGGATTCGGGCGGAGGTGAGCACTAGATCCACATTGCATTCAAGGTCAGAATCCAACGTCTTTCATCAGAATCTGCCCTGGCCAAGCTTTCGCAGATGCTAGCGTGTGGCTGGCGGCTGCGAGCATCATCGCCACCATGGACCTCTCTTTCGCCAAAGACGACTTCGGTCGCGACATCATTCCAGATGCTGCCTTCGTCTCTGGCTTCGTGAGGTATGTAATACAGCCTTTCAGTCATCAAGCCCTACTCACCGAGGGTGCATATGCCTGCAGTCATCCGAAGGAGTTCAAATGTGCCTTCCGGCCGCGGAGCGATCGTACTCAAAGCCTTATCGCCCACACGAACGCGATCAACATAGTAGCTTCATAAGTTCGATCTGCATGGACGTGGGGTTTCGAATATAGGATTCCGAGCATCTGTATTATACTGCGTTTTCACCGGCTCCCCGTGGGCACTCCGGCTGCAACCACATGTTTGCGTGGAGACAAACGACACTGATGGTGAAACGGTATCATGCTTGCCTTCCATCTTGTTAGCAAGCGGCGTGGGTTCGACTCCCGCTCAGTGTATCTCTTGCATGAGGGTCCTTTTTTTAACCTCAAGTTGTACTTCCGTTTATAATGAATGACACGGCAGGCAAAGCGCGATGGTCCAAGTGAGGAAAACCTATGCTAGATATACGAGCGATGCAACGTGCCCATGAGATTTCCCAAATCACAAAGAGGGATACAAAGGCCCACTGGAAATGCCAGGGTCAGGTTGCGTTGCCCATAATTGCTGCACAGATTTCCCTGCTTGGAGCCTGGCGCTTTGCCAGCCGTGTGAGTGGGTGGACAGACTTTCACGTGCAGCGCAGACAGGTGCGCAGGCCATGCTACCGTAACTGCGTCATTACACAGTTGCCGTTGTGCATCTATCACAACTGAACATTGAGTACATCAGTCTAGTTGGTACGCAGGTACAAGTCCACAATGTCAGTATGTACGTATCCAAACCCGCCATCCAGCCCTAGACCCCTCTCGTTCATTTTTTGCATCGAGTTGAGTGCGAAGTATCAAGTACAACTACCCCTCGCGCACATCGCTCCCGGGCTCAGACGGGGATGCTGCCCTTCAAGCGGAAGTCGCGGCTGCTCGCGCCCACGGAGAACGTGAACCTGCCGCTCGGCTTGCGCCAGCCCTGCGCGACGGTGTCCCAGACGCTCAGGTCGTAGCGCGAGAGCGTGAGCGACACCGTCCTGCTCTCGCCCGGGTTGAGGAGCACGTCCGAGAACCCGCGCAGGACGCTCGGCGGCTCGCCCGCGCTCGCCGGGAAGTGCAGGTAGAGCTGCGGGATCTGGCGGCGCGACGCGCGGGGGGTCAGCCTCTGCCGCCCATCGGCGAATGTCTGACGATGAGAAGAGAGACGCACCTCGCCGCCCTTGACCTTGCCCGTGTTCTGCACCGTGAAGGAGACCTCGAACGCCGGGCGGTGCAGCCACAGCGCGGTCGAGCCGCCCTCGACGTTCGGGCTCGCCTTGCCCGCCGCCCACGCCGCCTCCAGGCCCGCCGACGTCCGGTCGTTCTGGCGCACGGGCCACACCGCGAGGTCCGAGTACGCGAAGGTGGTGTACGACAGCCCGAAGCCGAACTCGAAGCGCGGCGCGATGCCCGCGGCGTCAAAGTGCCGGTAGTCGATGTTCAAACCCTCCGTGTACGCGATCCGGATGATCTCGTCCGTGTTCCCGCCCGTGATGAGCTGCGCGGGGTAGTCCGCCGCGCTCTTCGCGATCGTGTACGGCAGCCGCCCGGACGGGCTCACCGCCCCGTACAGCACGTCCACGAGCCCGTTGCCCGACTCCTGCCCGGGGAGCCCCGCCCACAGCACCGCGGTCACGTTCGGGTTCTCGATCCACGCCTCGACGATCGCGGGCCCGACCGCGTGCACGACGACGACGGTGTTCGGGTTCGCGGCGGCGACGGCGGCGACGAGCCGGTCCGCGTTCCCCCAGAGCGTCAGGTTCTTGCGGTCGCCCTCGTTCCCGTCGACGGTGATGTAGTCCTCGCCCGAGTCCGCGTTCGCGAACACGAGCGCGACGTCCTGGTCGAGCGCGGTCGCCGCCGCGCCCGCGAGGTCCCAGTCGCCGAGGAACCACGAGACGCTGGAGCGGTCCTCGCGCGCGCGCGCCTGGATCGCCTCGAGCGGCGTGATGAGGTACGGGAAGTTCGTCGTGCCGGAGCCCCAGCCCATCGCGAGCGTGCCGTCGTCGCCCCCGCGGTCGCTGTAGCCGTTCGGCCCGCGGCTGCTCGGCCCAGAGTCGTTCCCTGTTCGAACCCCGTCAGCACGCGCGACGATCATACGGAGTGCCAGGTGCCGGAGGACGGGAGCAGGAAGGCAGGCGACGACGCACCGATGATAGCGATCGACTTCGGCTTGCGGAGCGGGAGGGCGCCGGCGGTGTTCTTGAGCAGGACCGCGCTCGCCGCGCCGATCGCGCGGACGACCTGGAAGTGGTCGTCCTGCACGTCCACGTGCGCGTTCGTCGCCGGGTCGTTCTGGAAGAACGCGTTGAAGCTCACTGCGCGCGCGCGCCTCCGCATCAGCGTCCCGCCCACAAGGCCCGTATGTACATTCGCAGAAAGAGGGCGAGAGGACGCACCTTCGGGGTAGTTCTCGTCCTGGCCGAGGAGGTACCAGCCGGCGACGACGCGCTCGGCCATGTCGTTCAGGCGCGCCTCGGCGATCGTGCCGTTCTCGACGAACGCGGTCAGGTTCGCGCCCCACCAGCTCGTGCCCGAGCCGAACGAGATGTCGCCCGGCATCGACATCTACACGCGCACCCGCCCCGGCCCCGGCCCCAGCGTCAGCTCAGTCACGCGAGATCAGGGGAGCGCTGCGGTACACGTACGTCGAGGCCGGCGACGGCGGCGAGCGTCGAGTGGTGCGCGCCCCAGTCGGACATGACGTAGCCCTGGAAGCCGATCTCGCCCTTGAGGATCTGGTTCAGCGTCCGGTCGTTCTCGCACGCCCACGACGTGTTCACTTGGTCTGCAGCGCGTCAGCGCCCGGCGCACGCGCGAGGACAAGCAGTAAAGCAGAGGCACGCACTGTAGCTGCACATGACGCTCGCGACGCCCGCCTGGACGGCGCGCATGAACGGGTGCACGTAGATCTCGTGCTCCGTCCGATCGTCGACGTCCGACGACTCCTCCTGCCGCAGGTGCTCCTGCTCGCTGCGCCGCGCCCAGCCCCCGTCAGCGTCGGCATCCCCCAAAACGCCCCTGCGCCCCCCCCGCGCCAAGGCGAACGAACGAATGAACGAACACGCACTTGTTGACATAATGCTTCGCGCACGCCTGCGCGCCGCCCGCCTGCCACCCGAGCACCGTCTCGTACGCGCTCTCCCCGCTCAAGAACGGGTCCGCCCCGAACCCCTCCCAGTTCCTGCCCCCCTGCGCGATCCGCCCCATGTTCATCATCGGCCCCAGGCCCACGTGCGCGCCCTTCCCCTTGAACTCCTGCCCGATCGCCTTGCCCCGCGCGCGCAGCAGCGTGCGGTTGAACGTCGCCGCCGCGTTAATCCCCGCCGGGAACGCGGTCACGAAGTCCGTGTCGCGCACCCCCAAGGGCGAGTCCTCGAGGCACAGCCCGGGCCACGCGCCCGCGGGCGGGATGTTGCCCACGCAGCGGCCGCCCATCCAGCCGACGCCGGTCGAGACGTTCGCTTTTTGCTCGAGGGTGAGCGTGGAGACGAGCGCGCGCGCCTTGGCGTGCGCGGCGGCCCAGGCGGGGCCGAAGTCGGGCACGAGCGGGGAGCCGGGGGGCGGGGGCGAGGACGGGGAGGTCGAAGGGAAGACGCCGGGGACGGGCGGGGCGGAGGGGACGGGGAAGGCGGAGAAGGGGTAGGAGGAGATCGGGAGCGTGATCAGGGCTGGGGGCGTGAGCGGGCGGTCAGCGTGTCGTTTGGGGATGCGGGACGGGGAACGGGAGGATGATGGTGTGGAATGTAGGGTGCGACTGCTGACTGAACGCGCGCGATGGGTCGGTGATGGTTTACCGGACTTACGCCAGGTGAGCGAAGGCGGCATGATCGCCCGACTGCACAAAGGCTCGAACGTCATGGAAGATGGCTACGAATTCCTTAACCATTCACCGATAGCTTCCCACCAACAGAGAGGGATTCACGAGCAAGTCCCCAGTCGCTCAAGCTCGCAGCACACCACGACGACAACAACACGGAGAAAACACCCCGACGCGCGAAGACCGGCAGAAGAAAAGCCCGCGAAGACGTCATAGGCGACAGCATGAGCGCGCACATGCGCAGCGTCGAGCGAGCGCGGTGCTCGCCCCCAGCGCGCGTCTCCAGGCGCACTCCCGCTCCCAGACCGTCCACGGACGGAAAACGCGCGATCGGAGAGGCGGAAGCGCACCAAGTCGCCGTGCTATTTACGGATACGACGATGACGCGCGAAAACACGCGTGGAGACACGCGCAGGTCGCGCCTCGCACGGCCACGTCCGCTTCCGGAAAGACAAACACCAGACATACGCGCTGCAGTGGGGCGTCGAACGAGCTCGCCGCTCGGCGGACGCGCTGTGTTTGTATTCGGGTCACCGGCTCGCGTCTCATGACCACCAGTGTCAGTGACGAGCAGACACATCTGAATGAACATCAGAAAGAAAACGTCCTCCCGTGTAAGCTACTGCCAGAAGATATATATGGCACAGCAGGCGTCGTAGGCCCGGGGTATAATTGCACCCCCAGATCACGACACGCGTCGCGTATGCCGTTGGCGTGCTCGGGTCGAGGGTGGCGGCTACGTCAAGTCTGACGCGGGGGATGCCATTTCGCGGTCGGACAGAGCTAAAGGGCGGGAGCGTGTCCGACCGCGACCGGGCATTCCCAGGCAGTGACAGGTCGAACAAGGTAATTCAAGCGGGGTATGTGGAAAGCAAGTGACGCACAGACACGCGTGCATGCCAGAGAGAAAAGGAGAAAAAAAGCGAATACCGCCAGGAAGCGAGAGAGGAATGATACGCACTGGTTTCGGTCACGGGGCCAGTGTTGATGGTGGTTGCCGCAGAGGAAGCGGACGCGGCGGAGGAAGCGGCGCTGGAGAGGGTCGACAAAGATCCGGATGCGGACACAGAGGAGGCGGTCGAAAACGACACGGACACGGTAGAGACAGTAGAGAACGAGGCAGAGGCAGTAGAGAAGGTCGAGAGCGACGCGGACGCGGCAGAGACGGTCGAAATGGACGCGGTCACGGTAGATGCACTGGGCACTACAGCGCTCGCGGTGAGCGTGCCAGTGAGGGAGGGGAAGGACACGCTGGACGCGAGCGAGGAGAGCACGCTTGCCGCAGAGCTCAAGACGCTGCCCGGCACCGAAACGGCTTCTGGCTGGGGCAAGGCTGCATCTGTGGAGACGGCGAGGAGGAGGAGGGCGCAAATGGCGGACAGCCTGGGGTTGAGGATGAGGGCCATGGCGTCGAGGTCGCCGGAATGCTTGCAGAGGGCGAGCAGCAAGAGGGACCGGATAAAGCTCGGAGGAGGGTGGCCATGGCCAATTTATACGGCTCGGCAAAGGGAGATGAAGGAAGATGGGCTGCAGTCATGAGCATGGCGCGGTCACTGACGGTTCGATGTCCTGCACAGGCGCCCGTACCCCGCTGCACGCGCGAGGCGAGTGCCGTAAGCTCGCTGGCCACTACTCGTCCTAGCGGCTCTCCGCCGTCCAGCACGCACGCAATGTACACAACCTTCTCCCTCGTCTTCGCCGGCCCTCACTCTCTCGCCCGCCGTTAGCTTGGTCGCTTGCCAGTCTCGCCTGATGCGTATGATGGGCTCAGTTCGATGCCTTGAATCTAATATCCGCGCACAATCACCCGCCATCGCCAGTCGCGCCCCGCCGCGCCCTCCCACCCCTGCGTTCCCCGTCAGACGTTCCATAACACGCAGCACGCCCCATCACTCGCCCGCGTTTCCCTCCCTGCCCACCACGCGCAACGACGTCCATCGTGACCTCCCATAGCGTCTGCTGACCGCTGCCGTCGCCCACTTCCTGCCTTCTTTCCCGCCGCTCCGCCTTGCCCGGATGTCCTCCATGCCAATCCCGTTCTTTTGGCCCCGCCCACGGTCACAGAAGGCAAGCCGTGTCTCCATATCTGCCAACGACGCGCCTTCGCGACTCCGTAGCCGCTTCCCTGCAACGTACAACCTTTACGCGGCCAGCCCCTCTGACGCCTCTTTGCCTTTCGAACGTTCGTACACTATCCGCCCGTAAGTGAACCCGACCGTCTCCTTCCTGCTCCTCGCTACCACTCGGCGTCATTTCCCCGTGACGACTGCAGCACGCATGCTCCGTCCTCCACTCCGCACGAATAGCAACCGCTCCATTCCATACGGTGGCCACAGCGTCCGCTATACAGTACACCTTCCATTTCGCTGGCACTGGCCTGCTCCTTCCGCGTGAAGCATTTGCCGCCACTCTAGTATGTAGTGGTCGCGATGTCCGACAAGTCCGCCCGCGCCAAGCTGGAGCAGATGCCCGCATCTCCGCGCCTTCGCGACCGCCCGTTCCTGGGAGAAGTCGTTTAGCCTCGCCATCAGTTGCGAGAGACGCATCAGCTGCGACCGGCCAGCGTCCCCGCGTCCCCCCATGGGGCCCCGTGCGGAACGCGTACGGGAGAGGAGGACCTTGTGGGTCTGCGTTCGCGAGGCGGCCCGCCGGGTGCGACAACGGGTGATGCTGGTGTATGTACGAGTCGTGGAAGACGGCGTTCTGCGCAGGTCTGGTGTGCAAAGGTACGTCCGGGTGGTTTGGAAGGCATGTGTCACGCTGGCCGGTCCTCCTGGAATTTTCGATTTGACGTTTGCATTTTGATTTGATTCACTGTATGCCCCGCAAAACGCATCTCATGCATAGCTGCGATCATGATGCGACTTAAAGACGGGGAAGAAGACCGCTCGCGATCGGTGTCGACCCTTGCCCCGGAAAATGACCATCCCTTTCTGCAGTGAGCACAGCTTCGTGCTGTGTATGCAGCCCTTCGTCAACTCGACGTGCACGGTCTGCGCATCCCGGCACCGCCGCTGGTCATGGACTGTTGGTGACTCTACTCACTTGGACTCCACTCTCGTTCTGAAGGCTATACCGGAAAGTCCCTCGTCCATCTACATCCTACTTAGTACTAGACAAGACAACCCTCCCGGTCTCTCGAAGCCGCCCATCGCCTCGTCCATCTGTCCATCTGCACCCGCCATGGACGTCCTACGCGGCTGCCCTGCATGGATGGATGTACTACACTACTCCTGGAAACCGCTCTTGGTCCCGCATCCTCAGCCGGCCCATCAGCTCGTCGCCCTACTGGCTGTTCAACCCATACCCGGCCCCTCTGGGCGTACGCCTGCGTCGAGCTCGTGCGATCTAGCTGGAGTCGTAACTGTGCCCATGTCTTCCTTCCTCTAGGGCTACGGCCGGTCGTCGAACCGCATACACGCGCCTTGCGCTTCCTAGTGTGGTGCATGCCCACAACGGATCCCAGCGGTGGATATCTGACACCCCAGACCCAGCTCGCCTGTATGATCTGAACCAGGCCATCCGTCCTGTCGCAGACCCCGGGCCCGCGTCACTGCAGACGATCTTCGACATCCTATCTTGCCGCCCGAAGGCGGCCGGCGGATAGTACAGTATGTGCGCCCTTGCTTGCCCTCTCCTCCCCCGATTACCACCTCCTCTGGCGCCAGGGCTGCACGCGGCCGACTTACTGAACGTACGGTATGTGCTCCGCAGACGCTTCGTGCGCGAGGCTTGTGATTTCTCTGTTCGAGTTCCCGGTTGGGGCGCCGTGTATTCCCGATGTTCGCCCACGGCGTGCAAATCAGCGTCGTCGGCTGCGGATGATGCAAGACGTTCTCAAACGTCAATACCATCGTCGGCAACGCTTCACAGTGATCCCTTCCGTAAGCCTCTAAGAGATGTAGAGAAACGTTCGCATCGTTAAGGGCTCGCCTTCCACTAGAAACGGGCTCACAGCAACGCAGGCGGGACACGATCGAGTCGTCTACGCTTTCCCTATTATGATATTGACGATAGCTGGACAAAGCTCTCTTCTTATGCACGCTGGTCCAGGCAGCCGCTGACGCCGCGTCTTCCTCAGTTTTTCCATCGGCGTCCTCTGCCCTTATCGGCGCTACGCTCTTCTTGTAGATCCCGTTTATCATCCTTCTTCTGGATCCCGTCCATTGCCCTGCGAGGCCGAGCCTCATGGTAGGCCGTAACTACATCGACTGACTACACAGTAATGGGGAGGGTTCAGCGGTTCATATGCGAGCCTGTGGCTTGTGCGAGCTAGGAGTGTGTGAGGGGGAGTAAGAGTGACGGGTGGTGCAAGGGGAAGTACCCGAAGTATGGGCGGTTGACAGGGGCTAGCGTTTATCATCCTGCGAGGCCGCGCAGGACTCAAGGTACAGCAATGGAGTACGTGTGCGTGTAGAAGGCGCTACGCTCCTCCATGATTGTCTCTCTCGGGAGGTCATCCTCATGCCTCTTTCCTTTCCTGATCCCGTAATTGCCCTGCCAGGCCGTGCCTCATGATAGGCATCAGGTACATGTCGTAACTACTGCTGTAATGTGATGGGTTTCGTGTGCCCGCCGTTATTCTTTCAAATAGCGATGTAGGGTATCCAGCCCGGGAAGACACCACGACGAGAGCTGACAAGCAGCGTCGGACAAAGAGCAAGCGGAGCAGACGAAGAGGTCAGTTCCAAGCAGCTCCGCAAGGAAGCGAAGAGACGAGCCGCGGTGAATGCGAAGGTATCACCCTTGACTTGCACGTTCAGTCTCTTTATAGAGTCATGCGCGCTGTGTCAGCGTTCTGAGGCGGAGAATCCATCATTCGGCCGCCGACAACAACACACGGCAAGCGTACGGCAGTGACTCGCTCTGGACGGAAGGGTCTTCTACTCTAATTGAGTCTCAAAAGGCCTCCAATGATGAGCATCATCTCTTTCCTAGACTCCCACAATGGCAGGACCATACAGAAGACCCCGCTCATCGCCGCCCAGATGCTGTCACCGCTTCCGGGTCAATGTCGAAGGGTATTGGTCGATTCTCAGAGATGGCTCACATTGTGCATGCCACCCAAAACGTGTAAAAGCCCTTGCTGAACACATAGTGCGTGAAGAACATAGGGAAGGGGACTGTAGCGGCGATGAGTATCTCACAACCGGTCGAGCTGATTGGAACCAGGCGCTTACCGACGAGACAGACGATCACCGTGAGCAGCAAGGAGTACCACGCCGCACGCTTGAAGACCGATCTCAGCTCCGCGCTGCTGACAGCTTGGCCGTCTCCCTGCACGATCAGGACTTGCGCCGTCGTCGAGTCTTCGGACATCTCTTTGTCGACGACGGGCGAGGTCTCTATGGGACTGCTGTTCCCTGATTCCTCGGGCTTGATGTCCTCCCTGCTGTCGTTGCGGGACGCGTCGTCATACATTGCAATCGCGCGCGTGCCTGTGAAGTCATATTTATCCGGCTCTGGAGACGGGAGGGTGTGAGATCAGTCAGTCGTTGGTGCATGTATTGCACGATGGGGGAGACGTACTCGCAAGCGACACGAGCACCGTGATCAGTCCCGAGAACAGCAGTCCAGTCAGGGCACTGCAGACGGCAGAGTAAGGTTCAGCGAGGGTAGTGATGTTAATGACACCTAGCGGTAAAGTGTCAGCAATATGACTCTCGGGGTGACACACGCTCATACTCACCAAATATCTTCCAGCAGCCTATCATCCACGCTAGCATGCCAAGTATCGCCCCAATGATGCTTCCCGCGAGGACGCCTGCACGGGTCAGCTTCGACCACATGACGGTCAGGGTGATAGGAATGACTGCAGGACTTAACACTACGCCCCTGTTCGAGAGACTGATCACACCCTGCTAAGCCAAGCCGAACAAGTGATGTGACTTACTGGACGTAGAAAAGCCAGCCTAGATCAACGCCACCCGCGTTCAGCTGGAACCTATTTCAGCCGGCTAACCATGGACTTATTTGGTTCGACGCACTATAGTGGCCCAGCATCCGGCCCATATTGCCCAGAAGCAAATGAAGTAGTGCGACACCCGCACAATCTCCGCGCTGGTCGCTTTGGGGCGAAAGTAAGTGCGGTACAAGCTGAACCTATGTGAGCTTTCATAGTCGACGAGTGAGGGTTCTAGGTTTACTCGTATGTACTGAATATGCAGAATAGTGAGTATAAGCTATACTGAGGGATCACCATTAACTGCTCACAAAAGACTGGAGACTGCGATCATTTCGGAGCTGACTGCGGATGTGACCGCCATGCTAGATATTGATCATGAGTCTGCACCCGCGAGAGTACGCTTTCCCATAATCCGAAGAAAATGTGCTCACAAGACGACGAGCAGGATGGCTATTGCGCCTCCTTTACCCATCACCACCGCGGCTGCGGCAGGCGCCGCGAGCCCAGCGCTCGTCTGGGAGATGGACAAAGGATTCGGGTAGGTTGGAAATTTAGGCTATCGTGCGTGTGAATGATGAGTCTCACACGCAATAGTGCAGTCGCAAAGAAGAGGCACTTACGTTGGTAACTAAGGCGCGGGCAGCGAGGCCGAGGCAGGAAGCGAACCCCCACGGAATGGCGAACCACGACAGACCGCCCAGCACCTGTCACATGATGAGCACCCAGTTGTTTTCGGGAATGGAGGAGGGCTCACATATGCTTTAGTCGTAGACTTAGGAGCGCTTGCTATAGCCTAGAGGAGTGCAGGAAATCCATTAGAGGAGCGCGCTGGAGGCGAAACGTTACTTACCCTCTGCCAGTATCCTGTTCATGCACCATTGCTTCAGTACTAGACTCGTTCTAGAGCAAGGAGGCTTACCTTGATCACAAAAGACTCCGGAAAAACCTTGCGTCTGTTATTCAGAAATGGTGTATATTCCCTCATCAACAGAGAGACTTACCGCTCATGATAGTGGCTGCTCCGAAGACGAGGCCTTGGTTCGACTTCATCGTCAGATAGCTGCCTTCTGTGTTCCCGACGACCGGCGTGTCTTTGCCAGCTTGAACTAGCAAGTCGTACATGGCTCCGATGCTGCCGGTGGCCTCGGAAGTCCCACTATAAAGGAGCAGCTCGTTATAGCTGCATAGTTGAATGGAAGGGACATGGAATGATAGCACGTACTAGACCTTCCCGAAGAAGAAATAGATGATCACGAACAGAATCAAAGTATGCGCGTAGTCACAGATGAAAGTAGCGCGCAGCCCGCCGAAGATGACGTAGACAGCGATTCCAATGGGGAGCAGGAAGCATGCCGCGATGATGTTCATCCCTGTCAGCGCGTTTACAGTAGCCGCCCCTCCCACTGGTAGTGCGGATCGTCTTTCAATGCAATGTAGCTATAAGCAACTCAGGACACGAGACGTACATAGGAGCGATCCGCACACGACCAAAATGCAGAGGAAGGCATAGAATGTGAAGAGGAGATGTGCTCCTGTTCCAAAGCGCACTTTCACTATCTATCGAAGCACGATGGTATCGTCAGTAGTGTAGGGACTAAGAGATAAGCACTGTCTCCACCTCGAGGAAGGTATGAGCGCCGTTCGCGTTCATCTTGACCTTCGCAGCGACCATACCGAATATCGCGAGCTGTATCGTCCCTCCGACACCATACCACCTACAATATGAGCAGATAAAGACAACAGCATGAGTCTGAGAAGGGGACATCCATCACGTACCATGGACCACTGATACCTGATCATGGTCGGAATGACACGAAACTTCCATGTCTTAAGAAGGTACTCACCAAAGGTGTACGCTGCCGTGCTCGATTGAAGCAAAGTTGCGCTCCATGTCCACGCGCTGACACTACGGAAGGCAAAACTCATAGGTTTCTCCATGATCCAAGAGGTCGACACTTACATCCCACAACATACTAGTCCTGGCTGTGATACGGACATGAGACGCTGTCAAGAGCGTACGGATGACTGCAAGACGTACCTTCACGCTTCTTGATGCGCTCTATGAGTTAGGTTAGGCAAAGCAAGGCAGAAGCGTCTACAAACAGATCCCTACCGAGAACTCCTCAGAAGAGGATGGAGAGAACCTCGAGAACTTAGTTTGCAGCGCGGTGAGTGCTAGCATGAGCGCGGCAAAGAAGAAGCCAACTCCTGTAAACGTCGAAACGTCAGCGCAACTCAATGCTTGGGATATCATCAAAAGACCATACCGACTACGACTCCATACCCCACACTTTGGTCTATGTCACCTTTCAGTACGGCTCAAGCGTCCTTCGTGAACCAGGCGAGCATACCAAGAAGTGGCCTGAACTCGGGTTCCATAACGAGTAGCGTCGAGGAGTATGGATACGAGGTGTGATATGCGCAAACCCTTAAAAAAGACAGGATGGAGTATCCCTTATCGGAGACAGCCATCTTCTCGGGGTACGTAACGGTCTCTCGCACGACATGGTGATAAGAGGGGCGGGTGGGAGAGCGCAGGTAGAGGATGGAGTCTCATGATTCGAAGCCCCGCTTCATAAGGACGTCAGATAGCCAACGAGTAATCTCGGCAACAATCCGTGCCCAGCTCGTTCGCAAAGCTGACCACAGTTGCTCAGCCGAGAGCTGAAACGCTGCACTCGGCGGCGCCGGGCGCACAGTGAACGTCGTATTACCTCCTGACATTCGAGTCAAGCCTTTGAAGAGGTCTGTAGCTACCACCTCCCACACTGGGCTGTCCGTGCAGTATAGCTCAAGCCTATCAGAGGTAGCCTGTCGCTGGGCCCACGTCCTAAGGCGCCCTCTCTGAGAGTTACGAGAGAAACAGAGTCTACTCACTTGGGTACTGGCCGACATCCGGTATGGGCTACTTTCAATCAGCAGGATTTTGAAGTAAAGAATGTCCACAAGTCGAAATCCGCTTGCGAGGCATAATTTGCCAGCCTGACCACGACTCGATGATTTCGACTTGCCAGGTGGCAGTCCTTTCTACACAGCAAATGCATCGGGTGCTCGTAGTACAATCCCCGGACCGTCGGCCCGTCTCCTCCTATCTGCAAGGAAAAGTACAGCGCCGAAGAGGCTAGTCTCGACGTGGCGCTGTTGTCGCAAGCGATGCCCAACTCTGCCCCCGAGCTTACGCACTCTATCGACGACTTGACCCCATGAGCTTCAGCACCGCCCATCCGACTGAACACATCATAAAGCAGGGATCCGGCGGTCTCAGCTCGTGCACGGAGCTCCGCCGCCTTCCAATCGAGCTGAAACTGCCACCTTCTGCATGGCACAAGTCTCCGCAGCAGGGTGTCTCGAGCTCAGACTGGCTGGTTAAGTCCCCTACGGAACGGGTACTATGCAGGCTCCCTGTTTGAAAAGTCATGCGAGTAGCTGAGACCAAGTACATGCGATCGGCAAATCGTGCGCGTATATTCGAATATCGCAGCTCAACAGCGGGCTGGATGTTTGTCTCCTAACGCGCAGATAGGACGGCAGGTATTAGTCGTTTTCCCCTCTCACCATGTTCGTAGGCCCACTGATGCCAGAGGTTCTCACAGAATCTTTAACATCCACCAATCATGTTTTCATCGTTTACCTTTCGCGCCCTAAATGATGATCGATGGCGATTGGATCACGTACTAGGCTTCAGGCCACCGCAAACCACGACGCAGGTGTGCTTCTGCTCTGTAGGAACTTTCGTCTCTGCCTACATGCGATGCACATGTCCCTGAACGTCTCCAGATCCAGGCACTCTCTCCCGCGCGCAAAGTCCTCTCTGCAGTGGAGGTAGGTCGGACCCGGCATGATTCGGATAAGAATTCCGCAACAATGGCATGAATTATGCACCGATCTGTCTTGCAGCCGAGTTGAATCAGTACTGTCGTTTCACAGATTCCTTGGCGAAGGCTCCTATTTGACGTGAAACGTATGTGTCCCTTGACTCCACTTAGGCCCAGTGGCGCATGAGCGTGGCACAGTAACGTCTTAAGGGCGCCCCAGCGAGCGAACCGGACTAGTTGCCGCTGTGGGTGCAACGATCAAACCCAGCGGTCATGCGGAACAGGTCCAAACCATACACTGAATAGTAGATGGTTCGCAATACACGGTAGGAATAGAGCATCGCTTGCCCGGTCTGTACGTGCGGCTAGGTTCAGGTTCCTTGCATCTATTTGCGCGCGTCTTCTGGCCAGGGTCCCCGTATCGTATATCAGTCTCCTGGCTGCGTGGGCAGCTGTCTCTCCCCTACAGACTTTTCAACTCTCGCGTTCATGTCGAATGAGACGCCATCGCTGAACGCCGCAGGGGTACGCACATGATTTTATCTACCCATCTACTGACGCCGACCTGTACGACAGACCTTCGCTGGTCCCGCTTCTATCGGATTCTACTTCGCTGCCCTCGTCCTTGAGATTGTGTTCTTTGGCGCCTTCGTTGGGACATACGCCTATGGATCGTGGCTGATCCTCTGCCGCGCGCATCCGGCAACTCGGAGGCAGACTTCGACAGTTGTGCTGTTTGCGGCCAATACGCTTATGTTCCTGTTGTCGCTGGTGGTACGTCGCCGTTCTGCTGCGATCTCCATCCGCATGTGTTGAGCGTGGGCGACGGCATACAGCATCTCGCCCTTGATATCGATATCGCCAGGATTGGGTTCTTGACTGCACCTAAGTCGTTGCAGGAGGCGAAGTTTGTCCTCTACGTGACGCAGACGCTGATTGGCGATGGGTTTATGGTGCGTCACAGCTGTCTTACAAGTGAGGTTTGATCTCCATGATGGGCTTCCGTCAGATCTACCGGCTATATAGGGTGTACAGTCGGCATTGGCCTGTGACTATCGTCCCGTCCCTTCTCCTCATCTTGACTGCAGGTATGTGATTTTTGTATGTTCCCCGTATCGACTGCTCGCTCATCAAGTCTCATCCAAGTGATCGGTTATGCCTCGTCCTTCCTTGGAGTTGCGGGGTTCTATATGTCTGTTGCCTTTTATGGCTTGTCACTTATAGTGAACGTAATCTGTACAGGCGAGTGACTCTCCCATGACCTGCGCAATGAGGATCGACCTTGACGCGTATTCTGCATCCAGTTTGTATTCTGTTGAAAGTCTTCCGCATAAGCCGCGACTTCAACGGAGTCTATCTCCAAGGCCACAAACTCAAACTCTGGAAGGTCCTCGAGGCCACCGTGCAGTCCACCGCCATATACTCCGCCGCGGCGGTCTCACTCGTCATCACGTTTGTGAATAGCACCGCAGTCGGCTACCCTACATGTCTAGACGTGTTTCCCGCACTGATCGTACGTATCGTTCCCCATCGTGTCTCACGCTTAAGCCCCGAGTCTAATGCACGTCTGTCAACAGGGCCTCGTCTTCTCCCTCATCACCATCCGAATAGCCACTAACCTCATAAGAGACGAAGCCCGCCCCGACTCCAACTTCCGGTTGACCGAGACCGTGCGCTCACGCCAGACTGCTTCCTCGGTGACATACGTAGAGCACGAGCCGCATCCGTCAATTCTTCAGGCACTTGGGTCCCAGAAGGGTGCGATGCAGGCGTACAAGGACAAAGTGGGCAACGACGTAATCGAAATGTCGAAGCATGTGAGCAAGAGCGCGACTACGAGTGAGGTGTCATTGCCACTCTCCCGTCTTAACTTTCAGGAGGTTTGTGATGGCGACGTCAAGCAGGGGGAGGCTGTATAGGAGATGAGTATCCGGGCAGAGGTGAATGTAGCGACTGCATCGATGAACACCTGTTGTATCAGATGCGACGAAACAAGAAACGACACCACGACACCCACGGCTGATCAGTTCTTATAGGATAGTGGCTCCTTGAATAGTCATACCGCAGGTATATCCTTGTATTTCTCTAGTCAGCGAAGTATTCCACACGTACATTATCATGGTTCAGATAGCAGAGCGCTTGACTCGTATACCAGGTCGTTGCCGAAGTGAGTGAAGAGGATGTCTACTGTACGCTCTGGGACATACATAACCATACAACTGATTCGGTATGCTTGTTTACCGCACCTGTGCCCAAGTCACATCATCGTGGTCCTCCACCAAACTTACACAATCTTCTCGCACCTCCCGAGACGGCAACAACCAGCAAGTGCAAAGACTCTGTCTCCCCCATTCATATCTTACAGTGCGTAGAGCCTGAGATGCACCGAGCAGAGCCCACGCAAAGTTCCGGATATCCTCCCGCTTCTTCTGGTCCGGATACACATGATATGTGTAGATCCTGGTCCATGCCGGAGCCCAGATGAGCTGCTCGAGCATTGGGGGGACGTTCGCGAGGTTGACAGGCTCATCTGTACAGTATTGCATAACCTAGAAAGGAAGCATAAATTGTGTCACTTCGATTGCGCAATTGAGGACGTGAACTATCACACTAACATCAGAGTGCCATTCAGGCCTGTGGCTGATCTCCAGATACTTGAGCCGCGCGCATCGTCCCCATTGGTGCTGTTACGACTGACTGTCGAGCGAGTAAGTGGAGACGAGCGAGGCAGGCAGGAGCGCCGACGAGCTCTGATCGCAGTGAGACTGGAGCGGAGCTCAACAGGCAGGACTGGAGACAAGTTGTGTATTGAGCGAGGTATCTACAGAGCGAAATACACGATGGCTTACCTGGAGACAAGAGGTCGAAACTAGAGTCTCCAGGTAGCAAGGGATCCAGCTATATACAGGGAACGAACAATGGGCGCTAGAGAACAATAGCGTCGCCATGGGTACGGAGTACAAGGGGTGTAGGACAATAGCGGACGTGGGAACAAAGGGAGCTATTGTCCGTGTGTGGACAAAGGGAAACCGTAGCGAGTAGTGAACAATAAGGAAACGTACGAGGCAGTGGTCCGAATCGAAAAGGAAACATAGCGCCGTGAGGGCGGTTCGTGACAGTACCCCCCTCCAAAGGATCGTGTC